TGCTGCTGCTCCTGCTCCTGCTGCTGCTGCTGCTTGGCCCTGGCTGGAGACATCTCACTACACCCAGGAGCAGCCACTTCCCCAGCTCGCCTCCTCCTCCTTCGCCTCCTCCTCCTCCACTCCCCCCCCTTTATTACCCTTTGTGTCATCCTCCACAGCTCCGGGGAAGGCACTCAAAAGTGGGGGGCAGGAAAGGTAAGTGTGTCTGTGGGGGCTTCGTTGCCTTCCTCTGGCTCTGACTTTCACTCCGGGGCAACAGTAGCACCAAACCACATACGCAGTGGAGCTCTGGGGTGAGGAGGGGGTGGTGCTGGGTGTGAGGTGGGGGGCGAGGGAGGGGTTGAAGTGGGCAGGGGTGTGTGAGGTGGAGTGCCCATCCTGTCAGAAGAGGAAGGGCACTTTTATTTTTATTTGCTGTTGTCAAAAGTGGTTTCTCTCATCCAGCTAACATCTGATTGTGTCTTGCTCCAGTGGGGGAGAATACAAAAACAACCCCCTCCTTCCTCCAATGAGGCGCCAGGGAGACAGAAAGAGGCACACTTTCTAGATGAGACTTGAAAAAATTCGTTTGGAGAGCTTTCTTCTCTTTCCCCAGGAAAAGCTCCACTGCATTTGTTTCAGAGTGGGAAAATGTCGGGATCTGATTGTATTGGAACTGCTTCTCTATTTGTAGACCTGAGCGCTTTCCCCTTTTTGGTCCTGTATGTGATTTGGATATTGACTTCAGTGTTGGAAGACCTGATAGGGTTTTGCTTTAGGGGTTTAATTTTTTTAATTTTTTTTGTCTGTCTGGCTTGCATAGAAAATTTCAAAATTCTAGTTGATAGAGGCCTTTGGCTAGGTTTTGACTTGTGTAACTGTTTTTTAAAAATTAAATGTTTGTTTCATTTATCAGTATATAAAGTTCAACGCTCTAAATGCATAAAGTTTAAATGCCATTGGTATTGTCTCTTTCTACTGATGTTCTTGATATTTATTTTGCATAAAATGAGAATTTGACTTATTTCATAATTAACCTGGGTATTTTTCTAATCTTCGTAACTTGTCTGAACAAGTAATCCCCATTGAAAACTTTATGTTGTTCTGGCTGCATGGAAGGCCAAACCTCTCCATCAATAGTTTGCTGGATTGGTACCACTTTCAGTTTTAACTGAATTATTTATTTACTGTTGTAAATTGAGATGAGTTTTTTTATCTCTTGGGGTACTGAACCAAATTGCTCACTATATGTGAAAGAAGACAAATTTCTGAAATTTATTTTTATGAATCAAAGAAATCATGAAGTTATAGTTACTATATTGATTGTAGCTAGGTATAAATTGAAAGATAAATGCAGATTTAGGATTAACAATAGTTAGAGGAACAGTCTTGACAAAAATCACTCTTCTCCATTTTTACATGGTATTTTCTAAGCAGATAGCTTTCAGATTCGGTACTGTATTTATTTCTCAAATGCCAGAAAGTATGTTTCAGATGTAAGCCTTTTATTAGAGCTTACGCTGGAAAGTGGTATTTTGTTTCATATATACATTCCTTTATCCTTTCCTTGAAGATGGATGTACATATTCATTCTCTCTCTCTCTCTCTCTCTCACACACACACACACACACACACACACACACACAGACACACACATACACACCCTTTTTTTTTATAACTGCATTGGTATCTCTGATCCCATAATTTATGTCAGCAAAAAATATTCTCCTCTAAAGCAGCAATTTTGTGATCACACTGGCAATATGAAAACAGCAATTTGATCCAGTAGAAAGGATTGAAGAAATATAAATCTAGAAGGATATTTGACATACATATGATAAAGATATAAAAATATTTTTAATTTTTTATGTTCTTAATGGTTGAAATTAAGACATAATATACTATATTTTAGTGACAGAAAAGTGTTGCGTATGTGAAAACTTGGTCTATAAAAATTTTAATTAACTGTGTTCAAAAGTAGACATTTATACATCGGAGGAAAATAAAAAACCGTGCAGCAGTAAATAATATGGTCTTATTTCCCTTGTTTCTGTTATAAATTTTAACAGTTTCTTACCTTTCTGTGAGGCGTAATTGGTGCACTTAGGCAGAAATCTGTACCAAGTTCAGGTTTTTCTCCCACCTACTATTCCAGGTTCACCTAAGATTTCTTATCTTCGACCTTAAAACTCAGCAACCTTAAAGTAAGCTAGAAAGTAGAATTTAGCAAAGACATCAATTTTAAGTAAATGAATTGTATAGTTAATTGGGGTGGTAGTTGCCCAGTAAGCAGCTGAATGAAAATTTAGTCTTGGGTTTAATAACTATACTTGCTTTATTTCTGTTTTCCTTTGAAAACATTCCTTATCCTACCACCCCCAGGGAAACCCTTTTATGGTTGGAAGATTCCAGACTTTCCTTAAGTTGGATAAGGATTTATGTTTAGAAAATCTTTTATTGTATTTTTTTATGACTTATTTTTTTTTAAGTGTTAAAAGCGATCAAGGGCCAGCCTGTGACGTGGTGGTTAAGGCTGCTGGATCCTACATCGCTGACTGTGAAGTATGAGTCCTAAACCTAGCAGCTTGATAAATACACCTAGTGCCATGTGCCCCAAATTCCAAAGTGGGGAGAAATGGAGAAAGGTTGTAGCTTGACCATTCCCCACAGGGGGTGCTTTTTTTTTCTTCCTATCTTTCTCTAGGGAGCATACCAGCTGACTCACAAAATTAAAAAGACAAACAAAAACTATTGTTATGTTAGGATTGTAATATTTCAAGTAGGTGTGATTTTGGAGGTCACTCCATTCAACTGTCATTTTCAATATGGCTGATGTTCAGAGAGCTTGAGGAACCTGCCCACAATTCTAAGGCCTGTATATGAGTGGATAAAACAGAAATCAGATAACTCAGGTCTGCTGATAATTGCTATACTGTACTAACTTGTTTTTCATTGCGAGAAATGAAACTACCATACACTGTTCTATGTAGTATGACACTTAAAGATGCTATGTGAAGGCATATTCTTCTAAGAATATTAAGGTAAATACTTTTAAAGCCATAATTGTGTCCATACTTTTTTTTTTTTTAAAGATCTATGGATTTTGTTTATTGTGGGTTATTACTATTTTGAGAATCATTTCAACTTTCTCAGATGTTTAGGTTTTCTTCTCCGGCACGTCCAATTAATCAGTAAACATACTTGCATTAAGGAGTCATAAGGGGAAATAAAATGCCTACAATATTACTGTGAGGCTCGCCCTAAGAACTACTTAAGGACACAGATTTTTGTCTTGTTAATACTTATATTCCTCTCTATCAGCATAATGCCTGCTGTACAGTAGGCCTTACTGGTTGTTTGTCATAATCCACATGTTTTGCAATTATTCATGTTTGAATTTCTTTACTACCACGTGTGGGATTTTTTTCTTCTCTTTAAAAATTTTGTCAAAGGGCATGTGCACTTGCCAGAGAAAGAGACAAAGGGGGAAAGGTAAAAATCACCCCCCATGGGGCATGACCATGCTATAATGGCTTCTCCTCCATTCTCCTCCCAGGATTTTGATTTGGGGCAGGCATGCACATACACGCAGCATGTTTCTTAGGCCTGTGATTTTCAGGCCACCATGACTCAAACTGTGGAGTCGGCCATGAAGAATCCAGCGCCTTGACCCCCACACCACCTCCTGACCCCAAATACGGGATTTCTTTTCCTGGTTTTCATACCTGCTACAATTTTCCGTATCAGGAAATTTTTTTGTCAAGAATTTTTTGCCTTATCTCCATTATGGCTCTCACTGTTTATAAATAACAGCAAATTTAATACTGTTAACAGTATAATACTAGTAATAAGTAAAGCTATACCCCTGTCTAATTCTTGTACTGGATGAAATTTGACAAAAGTGATTTATTTTGAATAAGTGATGATCAAAAATAATTCCACCTAAAAATATACAATACTAGTAAATTTTCAGGATGAACTTACATTTCATTTCATTGAGTGGTACAATAAGTGTTAGAATGATTAGGCAGCTTTTACCAGCTCTATAAAGCAACTGTTCCTTAGGTGACCTGTTTCCCTGACTTTGTTTTTTTGGTCCTTACCCAGACAATTATCAACTTTCCAGTTTTCTATGGATATGAAGATTTACTCCTAGTCATCAGTGGGACCCCATGAAGTCAGCCAGAAAGCCTATGTCCAACTTATGTACCTTTGCAAACTTGTCTGGATTTTGAATGTATGTGCAAAACAGATTGTACTTAGCTGTTCATTAAAGATCTCTTGAGCATCTACTG